AAGGTTTTTTGGATTAGGCCAGCCCGGGTTGTGGGCCCCCCCCCCCCCCCCCCCCCCCCAAGAAAATGGGGGGAAAGAGACGGAAGTACGAGTATGCACAACGGATGTAGGCACTACAGACCACGCGTTGGTGTGGACAGCCCCTACAACAGACGAGAGTCATACAGAGTAGGCGACGCAGGAAAATGTACAGATGGAGAATAGATAAGCTAGAAGTAGAAGAAACGAGGGTAGAGTTCCAAGAAGAGATGGCTATAAACGACAAGAAACTCTCGGAGTTGATAGAGGCAATGGGTACACCGAAGGATGCCGAAGGCCGGGACCAGGCCGGGTCTAGAATCATAGAAGGGTGGGAAGAGCTGGTAAACACAACAGCAAGTAGAGTTCTAGGTAGAAAGTTGATAGTTTGTAAGAGAGCAGTGAAGTGGTGGGACGAAGAAATCAAGCAAGCAATTCGAGTACGTAGAGAGTCACACGCAAAATATGCGGCAGAGAAAACAGATGCAGGATGGAAGGAGTATGTTGAAAGTAGAAAGAGGGTGAAGGAGTTGGTGGTGGTGAAGAAGAAAGGGTTGTGGGAGGAAGTAGTCCAAAAGACCAACGAAGATTTTGAAGGGGGGATGAAGCAAATGTGGGTAGGAATTCAAGGGATAGTGGGCAGGAAGAGAGGGGGAGACACGGAAATAACGACACTAAGATCTGCCGAGGGTAAGATGGTAAGCAGTTCTAAAGGAAAGAGGGAAGTACTAGTAGAGCACCACCGCAAACTTGGGACACCCACCACCAACGACAACTTCGACTCGGAGTTTGAGAAGGAAATCAACTCGTGGGCAGAGGAAAACGTTGAAAGATCTCAGAGGGAACGTAGTGGTGTAGACGGGTTGCAGGGAGAGTTCACACGAGAAGAGGTAGAGGACTGCGTAGCGAAACTCAAGAATAGAAAAGCGGCAGGGGCTGATGGAATTGTGGACGAGCTTTTGAAACAGGGGGGGGAGGGGATGATTAACATGTTGGTCCGGATATTCAACTGGGTATGGAAACACGAGTACGCGCCGAAGAGATGGAGAGAAGGAGTAGTCGTGAACCTGTTCAAAAAGGGGGATAAAGCTGACCCGGGGAATTATAGAGGGATAACCCTGTTGAGCACAGTGGGGAAACTGTTTGGCAAGATGATAGACAATAGAATGGGAGACATGTTGGAGGGGAAACAAAAGATCAGCGAAGGACAAGCTGGATTTAGACCAGATCGTAGTTGTGTAGACCATGTATATACGTTGAGTAAAATCATCCAAGGTAGGAAAGACGCCGGGCGTACGACATACTGTTTCTTCCTCGATGTACAAAAAGCCTACGACACCGTATGGCGCAATGGATTGTGGAAAAAGATGTGGGACATCGGCATCCGGGGAAAATGTGGAGGATGTTGAAAAAGATGACAGAATGCACAAGAAGTGCGGTGATGTTGGATGGGGAAATTTCGAAGTACGTGGATATACTCCAAGGAGTCGCACAGGGATGTACGATGTCACCCACTCTTTTTAAGATTTACATCAACGATTTGATAAGGGCGGTTGAAGCAGTAAGACAGGGAGTCCAAGTAGAGGGAAAGAGTGTGTCCGGACTGATGTTTGCAGATGATTTCGTGGGGGTATCCGAAACACCAGAAGGGTTGCAAGAACAAATAGATGCGGCGGTAGGATACACCCGAAAATGGAGACTGTCGGCGAACGTAGGAAAATGCGCAGTAGTGGTCTGTAACGAAGATAAGAAAAATCCCGTAGAATTCAAATGGAAATGGGGGGAGGAAGATCTACCGGTAGTAGACAAGTATACGTACCTGGGAGTAGAGATTTCGAAGGAGTGCTCATGGGACGCACACATAGCGAAGTTGATTGGGAAGGGTAAAGCTCAGATAGGCAAGATGGACGAGATCCTTACGGACCCACACCTAGACACTAGGATTAAGAGGTGTATTCTCTTGAATGTGATTGTACCTAAGCTAGAGTATGCAGGAGAGGTATGGGAAGGTAACGAAAAGGCCGTCAAGCAGCTGGAAACGGTGCTGATGGCAGCGGCCAAGAAAATATTAGGATGTTCAAGTACAAACGAGCAACACTGTATTGAGAGCAGAATTGGGAATGTACTCTCTTAAAACAAAGAGAGACATGCAGAAGTTGAATTGGCAGTACAAGGTAAGTAGAATGTCGGACGATAGACTACCAGCCATGGTTGACAAGGCAGCTTGGGGAAAAGCGACTCCAGGGAAGAAGGGAATCAGATGGGACAAGGTGGTAGAGAATGTTTGGAAGGAGATAGGAGACGAGGAGGAGACGTTGGACACGGAAGGGTTCGGGGGGTTCAAGACGAAAGTCAAGGAGATGCTAGAGAGTAGGGAGGAGGCAACCCTTCGGAAGAAGGTACGAAGCGAAGACCACTTGGAGATATACGGGAAGTTGAAAGAAGGGATAGGGATGAAGAAGTACTTGGACGGCCCCATGGACTATGCGAAAAAGCTGAAATTGCAATTTCGAGTAGGCGATCTGGACTTGCCAGCACGGAGGAAGAGGTATACCAGCCGTAGGAGAGAGGAAGAGGAGGATAGACACACATGTCCATGTGGCAAATCGGAGGAGAGTAGACCCCACATAGTTGGGGAGTGTGAGTTGTACAGGAAGGAAAGAGAGGATCTCGAGGAGGAAATGAGACAGAGAGGGTGTGACATGGACAAGTTTGGTAAATTAGACAACAGCGAAAAAACGATCGCGACAATTGGGGATAGATGGTGGGCACAAGAGGCCCTAGAGGACGGGGATAAGATGTGCAAGAAATTTTTATGGAGTTTGTGGCAGAAACGTAAAGAGCTCCCAAATGTTGGTGGTGTCTGTAGTAGGTGTAGGAACGGTGCTCCGTCTCGAAAGGGACGCGTGGTCAATGGTCAAATGACTATGGCAAGCAACAAATGAGTACGCCC